TATTCATTGCTGGCTCTTCTTTATGCTTTCTCATTGTTCTTAGCTAATATAGATTTCTCGGCCTCAAAGTTCATGCATTGTACTGTAAATTTGTTGCAAGCTTTTCATTTATTGCTGTATTAAATTTGTATGTAATATGTATATTTGTACTGTAATTCGAAATTAATTACTCTTAGATACAAGCTCGGTGAAATATTAGTCAATAATCATAAGTAATTTGCGTAGACCGCTTACCTTGACACCACAACTTTAGAATTTAAATTGCACATAAAAAACAGATGCTGAGAAATAACATGCCAACATAGCATTTTGCTAAAAAAGGCACAACTTCCATACCCTTACACCACCTACCCATCCCACCCCAACACATAAACAGTGGAAAGGAAACAAAAATGGAAACTATATAATTACTTATCTTCCTTACTTAGCTTTCACAGCTTGGAATCTTGGTTCTTTTGGAAGAAACTTTTGTTCAGTGTAAACCGCCATGTAATCCGCAAACACAAACTTGGGGTAAATTGAATCCACCACCTGCTTGTCAGTTTTCTCAACAAGTTCTTGAGCTGGTTCTATGGTAGCCTTGAGTGATGGATTATAGAATGAAGCAATTGATCTCCTATTCCCATCAGCGGAGGCAAAAACCCGGTGCCAAACACTCTTGTATCTACCATTACTGAGGACTTCTATCTGATCCCCAGTGTTTATCACTATAGAATTTTTCATAGGCTGGACGTCAATCCATACCCAATCTTTCAGAATTTGAAGCCCTTTAACCTCATCATCTTGAAATAGTAAGATGATGCCACCGGCGTCAGTGTGTGCCCGGAGGCCAGTCAGCTTTTCGGGGTGAGGACATGGCGGATAATGGCTCACCTTAGTGCCGAAAAAGGCGGTTTCATTTTCTCCTGCTCCTTCAAAGGCTTTCTTGATGTACCCTTTTGGTAATCCCAAGTTTTCATCCATTACTTCCATAACTTTAACTGCCAGTTTTTTCAGTTCAGCTCGGTATTCCTTCATCGTTTCCCTGGCAATATGCATAACGTGTTATATCACGAACTACAATGATAATCTAAACCTTGCATTCAGAAAATTTGGGGTCGATCATATAAAATGAAAGGTATGATGCTTACTTGAATCCAGGAGTCTTTGTTGGCCATTCATTTTCATTGTCATCTGAGAGAAGGAAAACATCCTCCCAATCCAACTTTTCCAATTTGTCCTCACTTTTCTTTTCCACCAATTCATTTAGAAGCTTTACAGGCTTTGAATTCTTGAAATTCTCCTCTCTTTCCAATTTGTAGCATTCAGATGCCACCTTCTTCACCCTCTCCAGGAGCTCCTCGGGGATTCCATGGTTCACTAACTGCAAATTAATGTCACATAAGAATCACAATCTCAGATTTCAAGATGCAAAAAAATGTGTTCTAAGAAAAAAACATGCTTTCTATTACATTTGTTATGAGCATAACTTATAGCTATCATCTGACGGCTTTTAGCCCTCACAGAAGGCTCGATCTGTTGGAGTGGTAATTAATAATTACCTGAAAGAATCCCTACTCTTCACAGCAGTGAGCTATCTGAGCCAAAGTTTTCTCCCTGTCCTCGCCATCGAGCTTTGAAAAATCAATCACCGGAATAGCCATTAATGGAAATTAAATGTAAAACAAAGTACAAAAACTGTATCTTTTTTTCTGTACTGTTGGCACTGATGTGATGCTGAAGAGGTTTCCTGTAGACTATTTATAGTGCGACAATTTCTTGATTTCCCATCATCCCCAATGTCAACTCTATACTTTTTTATGCTTTTTTTTTTTTTTTTTTTTAATAAAATTTAA